TACGAACCATCAGTCTAAGGCTCTGTAGAACTTCTACCTGAAACAACGTAATATCATTTATATGGATATAATTGTGACATCCATAACATGTGATAAGATATTGACCATATCTTTCTCTCTTGTATGTCGTATCAGCTTGTAAATACGAATTTTAAATACATAATAATATTTATTTGGAATACTCGACATATGATAATATAGTCATATTTGTTCATTTTACTATCGTGTTTGACCGCTCTTGGTCATATTCCACTGTGGATGTGGGTGAGACATTATTCGCACGTAGCATTAGCACTGTGATTAGCCAGCGATCTGGGCATAACTACATCGACTGGGAAAATACTCTCATGGTAAGGTTTATTTCTCTTTCGCCAGATACCCAAAACAGCTCCCCGGAGATACCCATTTCCTCACACACATCAACCGTTGTTTATTTGAAATCGACACGGAATCCATGCATCTGAAATACAAATATCCTATCACATGACGAAATGAAAAGGTGTAAATTACTTTGCGTCTCCGCCGTAATCACTTTCACAGACCCTGTTCCTCAGCATCTCGATATTAAGTCCGCATACATATAACATATCTCATTTATATGCAAACTCCCAGGACGATAGCCACTAGTTGTTGCTGACATTGAAATATTAACATTATAAACATAAAAAAAATGTGTCAATATATTTATGAATTCATACGAAAGCACCAAGACACATTTGAGTATCGGAAATCGATAAATTGTTTCTTGTAGGAGCATCTTAGTCATATTGATACCGAAACGACAAGAGACGTATGCTGAAAGTGATAACGAAAATATGCATACATTAACGAATAATTTTCAATTTTGCGACGTATTTCCTGAGGTATTGCTAATATATTTATATCATATCACGGACACCTTCCCATAATTACAACACAAAAATCATAATTTGATCATAAATATACATTTATGCAAGACAATCGTTGTGGTTCGAGTTTTGTTAATATTCCTAATGTTACGTTTCTTTCAGATATAGAATTTTCCTTTGAACAAGCAAACACAGACAAAATAGGCCATAAATTTGCAGAATCATCCTTTTCCACACCACGAATAAGTACATGTTGTTCACCGTCAAACAAAAGCCGGACTTACGTCGACGGGTTGACATTACAAGGATAAGCCCGGGGAATATATGATAGTATACAAACACGATGTCACGTCTAGGGTTTCATTGCCTGCTGTCCAGCCATTGTTCATTGATACATTCCTCTCCGGTAGCTCGGACTGACATACACATATCTTGACCACTTGGACTGGTTAGTGTCCGGCATCACTCAAGACGTCTTTTTGTGTCTTTAAATTGTGTTCTTCTTTCAATCTTCGTGTCTGTCCATCTACGTAAACAATGTTCTCCAAATCTTGCTCGGTTATGATACGGGTGGATCTGTTTTGAAATTACTAATACTAACGCGAGACTCAGCCATGTATATTGTTACCGTCAGGGGTGCATTCCTTGGGGGTTTATCATCACCCAGTTCAATTTCATATTGGTTAATTGATTGACAGGCACGTATTTCAGATCAGGGACTTCACGCTCGTAACTAAGCATAACACACACGTTGCACCGATCATAATAAATGTGGTTTGATGATCGACAGTAACGATATCGACAGCGACACCAAGTTCGTCTACGTCATTGAGCCTATGGACATGCTGTATACATTTATTGCTCTGTGTAATAGTCAGATAATGAATAGCAAGACATTTGTATAGGTGCATATAAAGAAGTTGTCATGCATGCATGCATGCATGCACATATATTTACACACAATATTACGAAGCACACGGACGCAGTTTATTATAGTACCAGCAGTAGTTATCTTGCAGTTGTTGAAGTTGTGGCAGTAGTTGTAGACGTAGACGTAGTGGTAGGTGGTAGTGTAGTTGAAAGGGTTGTAGCAGTAGTAGCAACAGCAGTTGCAGCAGCAGTAGTGGTAGTAGTAGTAGTAGTCGTAGCAGCAGCAGTAATAGTAGCAGGAGCAGTCATACTTAGTAGCAGCAGCAATAGTAGTAGTAGTGACAGCAGAAGTAGTAGTAGTAATAACAGATGTAGCTCAAGTAGCAGTAGTGGTAGAAGTAATAGTAGCATTAGTCGTAGCAGCAGCAAAGTAGTAGTAGTAGTGGTGGCAGCAGAAGTAGTAGTAGAAGTAGAAGTGGAGCAGCAGTAGTAGTAGAAGTAGTAGCACAAGTAGTAGTAGCAGTAGTAATAGTTGCATCAGTAGCAGTAGTAGTAGCAGCATTAGTCGTAGCAGCAGCAGTGGTAGCAGCAGCAACAGTAGTGGCAGCAGTAGCAGAAGCAGAAGTAGTAGTAGTGATGGTAGTAGTAGTAGTAGTAGTAGTAGTTGCAAAATGTTTATCAGTGCGTACCTTTCACAATCACCAAATACTATACACATCACAATGTACAGAAAACATCATGTTAATCCGGCCGAATTGTCTTATACACAATAAAAACAATATCCAGTGTCGCAATTCTTCATACATATCCTAAATGAATTAACGACAACCAAAATTAAATAAAACTCTTTACAACACATACATACATCTAGAAGACTCACGTCGACATATCCACCGAGACGCAGTCTAACGTAACTGAACTTCAAACGGATTATATCCGCTGTATCTGCTAATTAGATTAAGTCAAGTACAAACGGACGGTAATAAAACTCCCCTCAACACCAATTACCAAAGATAATTTTTATTCCACTTTCTTCTCCTGACCAGATAAATGATTAAAACGAGTAGTCAAGCTTGAAAATTATTTCTGACAAGAAATTTCACTAAAAGCCTATTGATGAGCGAGTATCCCTGTAAATTCTCGCGGGAGTGAATGCGATTCATAAGTGATTAAGCGGGGAACCTTGGAACTCGGATGGTTTCAATCGGCAAATCCCCATGTTCTGTCAAGAAATGTCCCTTGTCCCTTCTCTTTCACCAGCTATTCCCTTGTCCTGTTACCGGATCACTGAGAACATAATTTATTGTCAATTTTGGTTTAGTTATAACGTCTCCTTTACGATGCGTTATAGCATTGCCGAAAAAACAGTGGGTAAGGTTTGAAAATTACGCTTTTCGATCTCATCGAATTTTAGTAAAAATATATAAAATAGTATGTAAAATGTTTATAAAAAGTGAATTTGTATGTTATATTGCCTCGTGGCATGTGACTATGTACTGTAATCTCTTTAACTCGAAACCCTTGAGACCAACGAATATATTGTTATCCGTTGTTCGAGTCAAGCGCCGCTGTAAAACCATGCTGACAATGAATCTTCGTGGACGTTACATCGTCTTAAATGACAGTGCCGAGGTAATAAAGATCGACATGACGAGGTTTGGTTTTATTTAAAATAGAAGAAGTTTCGTTGTAGAGAAATATTTTGAAAGTGCCACGAACGGGCATATCATTACATTGGATACTGATATATTATTAGACGTTTTGGGAATTGGAAACTTTCCGAAACATGAGTGCAAGCTATGCGTCATTACTGAAAACAGCGAGTTTCATAGGCATGTCAAAACCGTACGAAGCAGGGTTGTAACTGAGGATCGTGTTGCATGTTCATTTCATGTTCATTGCATGCTCATAGCATGTCTATATCATCCTAAGTCTGGATGATTTGACAGCTGTAACATAAAACGCCACACTGTCAGACGCGTTGCTAAATTATTGAAATCAACAACTGGTCTGTATTCCAAACTACAATGCAGCGCGTTCATGCATTATGTTAATACGATTTAAATATTTATATTTTATAGCTCCCGTTCGTTTTGGCACAATAAATTGGAATCCCAACTTTGTCTGAAATTCCCATGTGATTGAATCAAAATCTCGATATTTGATGAAAACTGGTCGTGATTTACTGATAATCGAGACTGGTTATTTTCTGCTGTTGGCGTTAATATTTACAGTTAAGGACATCAAACATATCATAGTGTGTGTCCCAGTATTTCTAAAAAAACAGGACAAAAAACAAGTTACAATAACACCTTGCTTCTCTGAAGGATGAAAAGCCTTTTTGCGGCCCCATCAACATAATATAATATAGAAACTGTAAACTGTATAAAAGAGTCGGATTTAGCGTGTGTACCACAATTAGCATAGTTTGCGCTGGTGGCCGCGTGAAATAAAATGATACTTTATATTTTTATGACTCCCAGGCATAATGTCCCTCGAAAAGAAAAACTTGCGCTGCAGCGTAGATATTTGACCACGCTTGAGATGTTAATATCATAATCACGTTCACGCCATGATACAAAACATGCACACGGCTCGTTAATCTGATGCGGTGTCAGAGCGAGTGAGTCTATATATAGTATGTGCATATTATGCCCCCTTCTTCAACATCTGGGAGTTATGAAGTTAGGCTGTGCTTTGTGCTGTGGTATTAATCAAGATAAGGTGAGGTACATGGGGTGTAACGTCGCGTTCAAGATTATTACACTCTTATAGCGACGTGCCTGCACGTGTATGTGTGTCTGCATGTTCTAGTCAGGAATAATGCTGGTTTTTATAGTGCTAGCAACTGAGATACCATACCGCAGTTTACATGGATACCATTCATACACAGTATACGGAGCCCGAACCAACAGTACTTGTTTAAGTCCCTTGATGCCGAGCGCCAGGCAGTGTAACACCAAGTACCATCTTTTAACGTCTTTTGGTATGACGCGGCCGGGATCGAACCACCGACCGTCCGCTCTCCAGGCAGACGCCCCGTCCACTAGACCAAAGATGTCGTCCTTCTAAAAATAAAATGATATATTTAGAAATAAAAGATGTTTAAATAACAAGTCAACCCTTCTTTCATTGATGCAACAGCTTCTAAACACAATTAAAGGTATATACATCAATTAAGCTGAAAAAACGAATATGGTATTTTCCCCATAATGTTAACGTGACTTATATGGATGACGTGAAGTTTACATTGAAATGACGTAAATATAAATTTATTTTCAGGATTCAGCCCAAACTCCGTCGGCAGTAACGGTGGTAGCTCCAGCACGTCGAGAAGGTTGCGGACGGCGTATACGAACACCCAACTGTTGGAACTCGAGAAGGAATTTCACTTCAACAAGTATCTTTGCAGGCCGCGAAGGATTGAGATAGCAGCTTCTCTCGACCTTACAGAGCGACAAGTCAAGGTCTGGTTTCAGAACAGACGGATGAAGTACAAACGACAGACGCAGTCCCAACGACAGAAAGCGGAGTATGATATCAAAACCGTTGGCAGTCGTGGGGATCGAGAGATTGGAAGTCCAGGATCTATGGGAGATAGCAACGATAGGCTGGATGATAAAGACGGCATGGAATCCGACTCGGACCGCAGTGAGATAAAGGAGATGGCTGAAGCAGACGGCTTTAAACGAGAAGCCAGGAACGGCTTTCAATTGAAAGACAATGCCTTTGCTCACAATGAAAGCTCGTTGATGTGTAAAGATTCGTTTTTCAAAGAGACGATGCTGAGTGAAGGCTCTCACTCCCAAACGAAAAGCGAGCCCGTTGAACCGGAAGCGAAAGAGAATGGCGATCGGCAGACGACAAGTCCGCAGACGACAAGAAGCTTGAGTTCATCGGCAGACTCTGGACTCTGCTCACCAGATAGTCTGCGCAGCGCTACTAGTCCAGCTCTGTCAACTGGCAGTGTCCCTCAGCAGATACAAGCCTCAATTTCCCCAAACCACGGCCTTCACCGGGTCCCGTCACAAGACGTCAAAGGATCGTCTCCAAGCCCAGGCGAACAAGTTGGAATGCATAACGCATTTGTTGCCCACAAATCAGAACCGGACGGATACACCGCAGAAGTAGCCGTATCTCACGGCTCTGTCATGAACGACGGAGCCGCTCTGCAAGGCGACTACCCGACGACAAAGGCCAGATTTGAGGTGAGCAACCCCTTTGCTCATGGACAATCTCAATGTCCAACAGGGTATTCCGCGGTGAATGTGTGTACTCTAGACCCTCGGTATCAGGTATCGGATCAGATCGCGTATCAGCGACAGGCTACTAATTCCAAACAGTTTAGTCCGACCACCTTGACCGGCTTTCCCGGTCAGAGATACCCCGGATTTGGTCAAGGTGACTGTGGTAGCGCTGAGATCCCCCGGGGGACGGAGGGAGGGGCAGCGGGGATGCCACCCCCTCCTCAGTACCCGATATCGCAAGGTCAGGGTCAAAGCTCCGATCGGCCTACTCGGGACGCCCAGCCCACATTCCCGTACAGAGCACGAAACAATGGTGACGGATGCTTTACTCAAAATGGCTTCAAAGATGACAATTTGAATTACCACTATCAATACGAGGTGAATTTTGCCGCACGGGGTAGCATGAATAGACAGAGTCAAGCATCAAGCATGGGCTACAGTAATGGCTTCTACGCTAGAAGCGCGAGCAATAGAGCTGGCAATCTGAATTATAATGCTGGCTATAGCGAGAAATCGACTGCATATCCCCAGCAGAATTCTTCAATAGACTCACATTCAGCCAATACGCTTTATGATAGTGATTACATAGCGAGCTACCAGTCAGCTGCCAATCAGCCGAATGATCAGAGGCCTCATCTGCAATCGACACAAATGTATGCCAATTTCACTCCAGCAGGCAATGTACAAGAATACCAAAGCAGCTCCTGTAACGGCCAGGCTCCGAACATGTGTAACGGATACATGGACAATTATAACTCCGAAATAAACAATCCCTTTAATGACTTTTACAACCAGGCCCAAGAATTCCATATGATAAACTTGTGAAACTGACATTGTAATTGACACCATCATCAATTTTGACAGATGGGAGGTAAATCATCCACGAACTAAAGTCGAAGCTGATCTTTCCAAGGGGTTGTGCATTTCAATGGTAAATCGTTCATTTGCTTGTAAGTGATCTATTTTGTCTTGTAAAACGGGTAACGTTGTGAACGTCGTGTCCTGGTAGTTTGGTACATATCATGTTCATTTCGCAATTGATTACATTTCAACATGTTTATAACTTTCATCCCAGGATGTTGTGTTATCGATACACTGCACCCTGCAGCGTCTCCAAACGTTTGCACATTTCTTTTCTTTTCATAGATCAACATTGTTGATTGTCATTTTTTTCCAACTCTTGGCAAAAGAGATTCCTTTCTTGTGTCATGTTTTTTTAAACCAGCGTAGCAAACTGTTGCACAGCTGAACAGGACCTTGACTTAATTCTACTGTTCATGTTTTGTATTAGTTCTAGAAGTATGTAAAATTATGTAAAATACATTCATAGTGAATATATACCAGAAATATTATTGAACATATTATGCACAAAGTGCACATATAATAACTAAAAACTATTTGTTAAAATATTCGATAAAATCGGTGATGCGTTTTGGTTTGAAAAACCTTTGTATAAATAAGATCAATACCTTGTTATTTTAAAAATTCATGTGGGGGTTTCTAATCTCTTGATCTGAGAAAATCATGGATATATTAATTTTGATTGTAAATATTTCGTTTAAGAGCCAAAACATGTCAATTCATGCAGGACTGATTAAAATCGCCATTATGAAAATAGGTATCGGCTTCATGGTCATTTGATGACGTTATTTATAACTGTTATAATACTCCACCCGGATCCATGGACACCAGAATCCTCACAACGAGATTTGTCATTTATCATATTATAGCCACGAAACGATAGTACGATTTCGTTGCAATATTTTTGAAGTTTTGAATTTATTGAATTATTTGTTTGTGTACAGCACCACATACCGTGACATCCGATGATATACGCACCTGTACAGTTTACCTGTTTCGTGTCAATGAATCTCATATGTACAAAAAGGCAGCAGATGATAAATGTCATGTTGGCGTCTATTTGCTATCAGAAACCTAGTCATGTCATAGATTGTCTAAACTTTTCAAAGGTTAATAAAACAATCGAAAATTTCAAAAGCTCCATTTAACAAGAATATTCATACGTTTTGTAATCGTAAAATATGACGATGTGTCTTAATGCTTATGAATATGTAAACCATAATAAAATTATTGTTTGATATTTTAACGTGAACAATAATTCATTGTATTTCATATGTATTGGAGGTTAAGGTGTTATATTGGTAGCGGTTTGGAGCTAAATGTGTTTCCATATTTCCAACCATTGAAAGGTTTATGACTTAATTCGCTGTTATATGTCGCTCACCTGCACGTGCAGTGTCTTTCATATGTCCACCGTTGTTTAGTGTCAATTTCCCATTCCTTATTTATTGTGAAACAACGAGAAATAAAACATTTGTGATCTTAAACTCGTATGCTTTTGTTATTCCTCCAATTCCCGTTATTCCTCCAAGAAGACTCGCATTATAGGAGTCCATGCGATCTGCGTTTACCGAGCATCGGTTGTCTCGAACATAGCTAACTGGGTTGCAGGGCTGCCTCAGGTAAGATGTGTTCTAGATAAGATATAGTGTACAACTATATTTTTGTTTATTTGTTTGTTTGTTTTTGGCTTACCACCACACTCAGCAATATTCCAGCTGTATGACAGCGGTCTCGGCTAGACAATCCAGTGAAGTCAACTACAATAAGACCCCGTTAGTCTAAAACCTGGTAATCTGGAAACTGGAATCTACAACTATATTTATTTGTTTATATTTTTTTTTTGTGGCTTACCGCCACACTCAGCAATATTCCAGCTGTATGACGGCGGTCTGGGCTAGACAATCCAGTGAAGTCAACTACAATAAGACCCCGTTAGTCTCAAACCTGGTAATCTGGAAACTCCGCTTTCAGAACCCTTACAGTTGGGAACGCCTTCATACAGACATTTGGTCATTAAACCATACCAAATAATTGGTAACCCGGGAATGTGTTAATATTACTGTAAACGACTGTGTCCATATTAACAGGGTTCAATTGTAAATAAACATATTTTAGTAACGTGTGAGATAAATAATAGAAGATTAGATTTTGTAGTGATGTAAATTTATATTTTAGTTTTATCCTCTTTAGTGTGCGCTGGCTTATTAGTGAAGAGGTGAGGCACGGCTGTTTGTGTGTGCTCGCGTGTGTGCGTGCGTGTGTGCGTGCGTGTGTGATTGCGTGCGTGCGTTTGTATGGCTGCTTGTATAAGTTCGGACTAATGCCGGTTTTATAGTACTATCCCACTGCGATACAAATGCCATGCTGCAGTCTAACATTAATACCCCACACACGCACACCATACTGACTCCGAGCCGACCAGTCTTAGTTTTATCCCATTAATGTCGAGCGTCAGGCAGGGTAACAACAATTACCATCTTGTAACGTCTTTTGTTGATCAAACCATCGACCTCCCGCTTTCCTCTTATCAAAGAGAGATTAGGTTTGGGTCAATCAGCAGCAATATCAGGTTTGATGCCTATCGTTGTAACATAACTTGTGTAGGTGCCCACTGAAACGTAATATATCGCTATCGATTACCAGCCGCAATATGTTGACACAGAGACAGTGTCACATACGCCATGCTCTAGTTGCAACACTGAGACTGACAATGAGTACGTGAGTGTGTAATACAGACCCCCTTTAAGAGCAGGCGTTAATGAATATGCTTTGTTTGTTGTTTGACACCGCACTCGGCAAAATTCCAGCTAATGGCGGCGGTCTGTAAATAATCGAGTCTGGACCAGACACACCAGTGATTGATATCGATCGATCCACGCAATTGGGTTATGATGACATGCATCAACCAAGTCAGCGAGCCTGACCACCCGATCTAGTTAGTCGCGTCTTACGACAAGCATGGGTTGCTGAAGATCTACTCTACCCCGAACGTCACGTGTCTAACGAATATGCATTTCCTGTGTTATACTGCTCAAAATTTGTTAGGGAATGCTAGAGAATGTCGGTAGACTTGGAAGATCGTTTTCTTATATTTGTAGGTTTCTAGTCATTCAAACTATTAACACCATGCCATATCCGATATTTCGAGATAACCGGCTTTGTCGTACTTTTCTTCACATTGAATTAAAAGCGACACAGACCCTTTTCATAATCAAAAGAAATCTCTAAAAGCAGAGTCCATTGTACGATTCCGACTATATCATAACCAAGTGTTTATGACGTCACTATCAAATGGATGACACCAGGTGTTCTAGACAAGGTGAGTGTATCCTGTCCCACCGTTAGCACTCGTCATAAATTATTGTATATATTGGTTCATATGCATATAATTGTTAATGAATCGCTATCAAAAGTGATAATACCAGGTGTTCTCTAAAAACACTATTTTCACTGAAACATTAAGTGGACACTGATGAAAGAATGAAACCTGTTGATCTACATTCAGAAATGTATGTTATTCCACACTTCAACTGGGAACGAAATACTCCGGGCGTAGAGCCAGCTCCAACTCCAGCCATATTCCTGTGTTTTAATTTCTGTTTAACGCCGAACACAGCAATATTTCAGCTGTACGACGGCGGCTTGTAAATAATCGAATCTGGACCAGGCGATCCAGTGATTGATATGATCAACTATACTATCCACGGGAGGCGATAACGTGCTATCAACTATATTTATTGACCCCCCCCCCCCCCCCCCCCCCCCCCCCCTTCCTTCCTTCCTATTCGAACCCGGACCCGGTATCACCAGGGTACCAGCAAATCAATCAGTAATGGACATTTTTAAAAAAGTATATTTTTTTCTCTTCCCTTTTTCTTATTTCATCCACTATTTGCCTGCACAGATTACCAAAGACCGCTGTAAGGTAATCTTATTAAACCGGACAGATCTGAACTGATGGGACCCGCACTACGATACGATTTGCTTCACAAATACACGAATAAATGGATGATAAATTATATTAAATATGATAGAGATATTCATTTTGAAAAACTTAATTTTAATTTAAAACCGAAGGATTCTGGCTTCATCATTCATCATTATTGTTTTTTAAAACGAAACAATACATCAATAACTACTACATAATTAAACATATAGTGCGTGATTGAAGGTAATCGCTATGTTTTAAGCCGTACTCAACAACATTCCAGTTGCGGCCGGTTTTGTTTGTTTGTTGTTTGACGCCGCACTCAGCAATATTCCAGCTATATGACGGCGGTCTGTTAATAATCGAGTCTGGACCAGACAATCCAGTGATTGACACCATGAGCACTGATCCACCCAACTGGGATACGATGACATGCATCGACCAAGTCAGCGAGCCTGACCACCCGATCCCGTTAGTCGCCTCTTACGACAAGCATAGTCGCCTTTTACGACAAGCTTGGGTTGCTGAAGACCTATTCTACCCCGGATCTTCACGGGTAGTTGCGGTCGGTACACAATCTAGTCTTGGGCAGTCAAACCTGTGCTACTATTACGCAGAAGCCAAATCCACAGACATTACAGGAACCGGTTTAGAAATGGTACCCTGTCCTCCATGGTTTGTCCAAAGACCTGACTCAAAGGTGGGTCAGGCTGGGTGATTTATCTCATCGAAACGCGAAAAGGTGGGCGATGCTCATAACATCAATCATTGGTTCGCCTGACCTCGAATCGATTTTTTACAAGCCTCCGTAAAATATAGCTGGAATATTTCTGAATGCGATGTTGAACAACATTCGATCACTCACAAAACATATCACCAGATCAACATTTTTATAGGCTCTTACGATATAATTTTCTGTTTGTTTGTTGTTGACGTCAGTCTGTAAATAATCGAGTTTTGACCTTACGAATATTCCCCGCAGACACAGACTCAGACTGCGTATTAATCAATTATACTGGTGTCACCTACAATGAAATTTCGTTACTCCATCAACTCGATCGTTAAGAACAAAGTTACTTTAAGGCCCATCAGAACCCTCAACACTAATCTAATAGACACTGGTCTAATATACTCCTCAAAAGAAGTTAAGGACCACACGATTATTTCATATTCACCTTCATCTCTTTAAACCTTAAGCGCACGGCTTTTTCTTGGAAAGACAGATTAAAAATAGCATTATGACAGAATCTGGTGGCCCTTATCTTCTTACGAGCACTATATCAGCATTCCGATTCTATCGAACTACTGCTTACCCGTAGTCTATACGATTTCGAGTTTAACGATTCCCACATACCAAAGTAGACACAATTTATGGATAACAACTTCTACCATTACCGTAAGGACGACGTTTCGGTACAGATCCTTGCTTCAGAATGGTATAAGGATCTATACCGAAACGTCGTCCTTACAGTAAAGGATTTGTTATCCATAAATTGTGTCTACTTTGTCATCCGTCAACTCCTAAGTAATGCCTATCAAAAAATTCGATTTCCACATACCATATTCAAATCGAATTGCATCTTATATACAGTAAACTACGGTTATAACGAACTCAAAGGGACCACTGATTTTAGTTCGTAATAACCGTAGTTCGTTATAAGCGTGTTCGTTATTAACGTAGTTTTATGTACAACAGTTGTCATTGGTTATCCGTATACCTTCTGAGGGTGCGGTGTAGATTACATAAAACAACATTACCATTGTGTGATGGCATTGCCATGGCTGTGCATGTATACATATTTATAGTCGACTGAGACGAAAAGCTTGTTGTGGGTGACACTGGATTACAGCCAACCCAAATCATTAACTTCATGTATATTTCACCGTGTTCAGACTGAGGGGAAGAGATTAAGTTACATCTGAGAAAGATTCTGTAACTAATACTATTATGATCTGCATCTTTTTACTGGGAGATATGACGGTGGCGGTGTCTACATATTCTGGTGGCTATGGTTACAAGATCCGTGGTCGATTACGCTGAAGGGAACATTGTGCTATGCCAGTTCTGGTCACTAACCTGCCGCGACATTCTGAGCATTGCGAGGTGTCCGTCTTCAGCACTACTGAACATTCATCTTCTGTACGTTGAATCACTTGTTGATGTAATCTACTGTAATTACTGACACCGCCTCTGATTCGAGTTGTTACGTCTCTTGCACTGTAGGTTTGTTGACGTTGCATGTACACGTCAGTTGATGGCTGTATGCCTTGTTTGAACATTTCAAATCGTGTATATACTGACCGTCAAAAGAAAGGCGAACCCTAGAAACATATAGAGAAGTGTTTGGTTAAGAAGAAATGTTTTCAATGTGTACCAATTGATGACAAAACAATAAGTCAAGGGTTACAGCAGTGTGTCTTTATTCTTATCACTATATGCTACATGTGATTTCCAAACTTTACACGCTAATCCTGCACGCTAATTGAGACAAATGCTGCATCTCGAGTCATGGACCTATGACGTCACATGTGATGCGTTCAGCACTTGTTCACACT